GTTATGATTTCCCATGCTTATCTCATTCCATTTCCATTCCGAGCATTGCTATTGGACAGTACCTTTCTCTGAGTAGAACTTCCCATGGACGCTATCTTCTTCCCACGCGTTATCTCCCTTGACTCACCTTCTACCAATGGGCGCCCTTGTATTTCTCATTTCTCTGAGTTACGTTCTCACAGGATAGCTTACGCGTCCTTTCTTATTGTTCTCTTCTTTGGGTATTAACCCCTATACCAGTTACTATATATACTGTAGGAAAACCCATGTATTCCTTAGTTCAACCTCCTGTTGAATACAGCGATTACCTGGACTCTTGACTTGACCGTTGGCATTAGCCCGGCCAGACCTACCTTTCAGTACGCTTACTGAGGTAGTGACGACATAACTGTTGGCACGTGGCCCAGTTATCTCAAGATGACTAGTTAGGACATCGCTTCCTAACAGCGCAGGGGTCAACACAATGTGGGAGTCTGGTGGCTTACTCTGTGGCAGCCATTCGGGCCGTGACGCGCTCGAATTTATGGGCAAAGCAGATGGAGCTATTTGTCAAAAAACGAACTTGGAGCTCGACGGTGAGCACGTAATAAATTGTGGCACAAACCCTTGAGTGTGAGCCGCTGTACAGATATTGTGGCTCCTCGGTGGAGTACTTTTACTGGACCTTTTGAAGGCCTTGGTATACCACGGAGCAGCAGCAGCACAAGAAACACCCCTCGAGCATTGGGTTTGGGGCAAGGAGGGTCAGAACAGTCAACACCCTCATGGAAAGAAGAAAGTCAAATTAAGATGTGCCGACTACAAGGACTTGATAGGGCTGATGGGTCACTCATTCATCCTTATCTCGTTGCAGGTTTAAGAAGGAAGTATCCACAGAGAGTATCCTATTCCTTCTCTTGGCTAACCTGTTTGTCACCACGTTGTTGCTTGAGTGCTGCATATGCCAGCTGCTTGTGGGATGATGTATAGGTCCTGTGCATGGCTTTGTGCTATGTGTCCACTCATTTTTGTCTGCTGGAAAACTGATGCTGCATCCCAGAACATGCTATGACATTGCTTGGCAGCTGCTTAGTTCTCCCCCTGGATTTCTGTTAGTAGGCCAAAAAGTCAGCTTGTTGATCTTATTGCCTTGCTTACAGTTGCACATGATATTCCCAAACACACATTTTATTTGTCAACAATATTGAGCATGGTTACATCAGACAAATACCTATGACTTGGTTAAGGATTTTGTACACATGCATCAATGACCCATATGTATATAAGGCACCCAGGACAAGTATGAGATGGTGGGATGGTTCTTTCTCAAGTACTCAACAGCCTTATGCAAAGCATAGGCAGATTGTTTGTGGTCTGGCTTCTTGGACTTGAATAGTTCCTTGTAGACTTGAGCTGTGACTTCAGGTGCATATTGGTCCTGGATATTCCACATTGTGGCAATGACTGATTTGTACCCTGCAAACATCATACCTGCTGCCAGATGAACTGACTCATCTGCCAGCTCTGTACTCCCTGTGGCAGTCTGGCAAGCAGAGAGAAAAGCCAGTCCCCTGGATGTCCCAGAAAATTTGGAATCAATGATATCTGAAAGCCTGAGATGTTTGGCACCAGTCAAGACCAATGCACTGGAAAGAGGGTCTTGAGGGTCTTGCAGCCCATGGCAGGCAAAGTGGACCCAGTTAGACTTGCTGACAATACTTATGACCTCTGACAAGCTTGCATCTTTGTCTTGTAAGATCTTGACATCCAGAGTTCCTGCCAGGCCCTTAATGTTCTCCAGCTCTTCCTTGACTCAATAGAGAGGTTCTACACCTGGGGCATTGGACATGCCAACAGCGAGCATGTGGAATTCATCACTGTTTCCTCCACCATCCGGAAGCAGTACACCAATATTAGGGGTGTAGGATGATACACAGTAGTCAGAGAGTTTGTGACCTGGCTCACTTCTGGTATAATCACCAGTAGCATGTATAGGGAGGAACATCAATGGACCTGTCAGGCACCAAATGATGTGAGGAAGGGGCTCTGATGATCCTGGCTGTATGGAGAATTAGTATGATAACAAATATCCTGTAGGTCTACCTCACCTGGATAGAAAGATCTTTGAGAATTGGCTGCACCACTTGATACCAGAGAGTAGACAGAATTAACTCCATTTCCTTTTCAATATCCAGAGGAGTCTGCTTCTTGTTTCCTCTACCAAAGTGGCGCAGAAGATCAGAGGACACAATTCCACACTTGTAGTTGACAACATGGTGCCCCCCTTTCTTGTGACAGCTGCAGGTACAACTGGGATCATGCCCACAAAATGTGTCCTTGAGTTGAGCCTTCCAGGCTGGAGATGGTAAAATTGCATGAAGCCTATGCTGAAGTTCCATTATCTCATGGTATGAGATATCAGGTAATGCCACATGGTGCACGTGCTGCTTTGCTGGTACCAATATGAGTGCATCACATCCACTTGAACTGATACTAATTGTGACAATAGGACCAGAGTAGCTTACAGCATACAACTCTTTGATGTTCTTAGGCAGGAGGAAGGACTCAAATCCTGGAGTCTCCCTGATTTCTTTTACTACTCTTTCCCACTCCAGAGCAGTGTTATGATAATGATTTGATTCTCCAAGCACACTGCTATGACCATGGTCAGTTTTTGATGCATATAGAATTCCAGCTATTTCTGCAAGCCTTGTGGCAAGGGCTGGATGAGCTTTATTCAATGCATCAAGTGGGGTCTGTAGTTGCAACATATGGTTCCAAACCAGTGACCTTCCTTGCTCCAGCCATTCCAGTGCTGTGTCATGGTGATCAATCCTGAGAGCAGCATTTGCAGCAGAATGCCCAAGAGAACCTAGTTTCTGGATATTGAAATATTGGTCTTGAATTCCAAGCCCAATCCATACTGCTTCTGGCAGCTTATGCATGGCTTTGGTGAATATTTCAAATGAAAGCTGCCAGTATTCCTGTCCCATGAGGCTCACTAGGTGGCCAAGCTGCCATGCAGCTTCAATATATATCTTGGGTGGAGCAACAGGAGCTTCCATACAGCTTCCCAGAGCTGATAATGCCCTTGTGAGCACTGCACCTGCATTATAGTAGTCTCCATTATTCCTGAGAATCTCAGTATACTTGATGAGAGCTGTAGCCATATGTGAGAGCCAGAGTGACTTGCGTAAATGATCTTGAGGTGTGGTATCCACTGCTTCCTGAAAGTATTCTATGGCCTGCTCTAAATAAGCTATCTCCCCTTGCTGCACAAAACAAGCCCAGAATGCTGCTCCGAGTGCATCAAGTCGATATGCTCTGATGGAGCTATCTTTGGGTGTCATACTCAAGACCTGCTGGCTGCATTTCAGAGCCTCATTCAAATCTTTTATGTCTCCAAATCCAATGTGCCGCATCTGATATGCTGTCCCCAGACCAGCAAGCCATATGATTTTATTTGGATGACCATCAGGTGTGATGTCATATGCCTCCTGGCTGTACTGGACAGCCTTGTCTGCATCATCATGATGACCAAGTCTTCCAGCACGGTGATAAGCCTCAGGATCGTCTGACCCCCGAAAACGAGGACTTAGCACGTCATACAAGCCCCCCCCAGAGCTTATTCGACATAGTGCTCACATGCCTCTAGGCTTCTATAGGCTCTAAAAGAATTTTTCTGTTTAGCTCCGGACTTCCTAACATCCTTGAGGTGTACACGGATCCATTCCACGATTTATCTCCGCGAACAGGAGCTCCGGAGTGACTTAACCAATGCGACTTCTAGATGCCTTAGCTCCGGGGCCCGCGGACGCTTCTATCGAGGGGTGTCGTCCTCATGCCCAACCTCCAACACTCACTCCCTCTCGTTTCCATCAAACTACCAAAGGTGCGGATGCATATGAGTCACCATGAGGCCAGCATCTGTCAGCAAGCGGCCGGAGGTAATTAGCACGTGATCGGCACATCACGCGGAGTGATGGGACCTGCGACCTCTAGGGGCTGGGATGAGCAAGTGGGATTGCAAGAGAGTCATATGGTGTATGGTATAACGGCGGCAAGTGCTGAGCAATCCTGTGGGTAGCGGCGTTTATTTGTTATTTATCTCCGGACGGTCGCAAAGCCATTCCTGTAGTATAAATTGTACAAAGTAGCGTACAGAAAAACAAGTTTCGACTTCACCATCTCAGAGAATTAGTGTTACGATCTCAGCGACCCAAGAAGTTCGAAAGCGCCGAACTTAGTGAATTATAACTGACCCTAGCTTTGCCAATAGGCCTGACTCGTCGAGTGAATTATCTCCGCCATCGATTCAATTAGCTCCGGTGAGCCTCACATAGCGAAATAAAATTAAACAAGTCTTTCTAGCGTTTCTTACTTCCGTGGGCCCAAACCTACACTCGGTTCCGTGGTTTGCGACTTTGTTTGCGACTTTCCAGAGATAAATACTCCGGAGCGTCCCTTAGTGTTTGTTTCAGGCGTCAAGGTTTTTGTTTTATTTTTCTAGGTCTTCCTACGGACTACCCTACGGCGTCTTACTCCTCCTTTCCCCCTCGAACTATTAAATACCCTTCAGTTGTCTCGGACCACCTTCACCCATATCACGGGGTTTAGGTTAATTTCTTTTGGTCCTTGGTGATTGTTGTGTGTCTGTGCATATCAACGGGCCTGAAATGCCCCTCCCAGACTGCTAAGCATCTCAGCTCTGCACTGGTCATTATCCACTGCAAACAGTAGAGCCTCTTGGAGACATCTGATAGCCTCCTCGAGATCTCTGAGCTCCCCAATATTCTTGAAACGGACACACAATGCATTGGCTAGCTTATGGAGGTAGTTTGCCTTGTCTGACTGATCTCGAGTGATAGTTACAATGTTGAGGTAGTACTGGATAGCAAGATCCAAATCTGCCATGCTACCAAAGCCTGTATAGCGGCTCACAAGGGAGCTGGCAAGAGCATTTACCCTTAATGCTTTGGTTGGGTGATCATCTGGCACCATATCCACTGCCTCCTGATGGCAGATAATAGCCCTTTCCAGGTCTTGCTGCTTGTCAAAGTATTCAAAAGACATGAGCAGCACCTGGCCCAGACTATTGAGCATATCAGGCCTATCTGGATGATTCACAGGGGTTATATTGACAACCTCCTGTCTGTAGCGAATAGCCTTCTCCAAATCCTCCTTCTCCTTGAACTGTTCAAAACATTCTTCATATATAGCTCCAATGAATTTGAGCCACCCAATGCTTCCTGTATTGTTCCCAGGGGTCAAATCAACAGCCATCTGACCATAGGCACTGGCTTTTCTGATATCCCCCACTAAAACTGCCATGCCAGTTTGCACAAAGCATGATATTTTCAATTCCTTGACTCTTTGACCCCAATCTGGATGATCAGAAGCAGTTAGCTCCACAGCATCCTTCATGTGCTTGATGGCTTGATCCAAGTCAGGTGGGCCTCTACTCCTGGTAGCATAGTC